TATCACTGATCTCAGAAAAAATCAATTATTGATCTCTCGTCACGGATCTAGCGACGATTCGTTCTTCGTTACTGTTTATCGATCGCCTTGGGCACAGCCATTCCATTATTATACTCATTGATCCGTTTGTCTAGAATATCCGTCAGTCCGATTGATAATTTGGCCATTAATTTATTCAATTAATCATTTTTGTTAAGTATTCATTCAGTGGTTTATTCAGTAATTTATTTAACTATGTGATCGATCATCCGATTGTTTAATTGTGCGTTCATAAATTTGTCAATTTATTTCATTCATAATTCACTCATTCACAGTCGTTTCTCTTATCCACTCATATATATCATAGGTTTTTTCAATGATATGTTGATCAGTTTGAATTCGTTGTCCGAATGGTCATCGGCAGTTGGTTGTGAAATTTTCGAATGTGAATTTATCGAGCTGTTGGCAGGGTTCATTACCTGTCAAAAAAGCACACCAACATTATGCTTCCTGCCTTGGTTAGATCACTTGATGAAAAATTATGAATCTCGTTGAGATTCATGTGTCTGAAAGGTGCTGAATTCTGGATTAAATCCCAAGACATATATCGTTTTTTGAAAAGCGAATCCGAGATGACACTACTATGTGATTATTTATCTATTTAATCTGCTGTAAGTAGTGAAAACTAGTATTTTTGAGTATAAATGAAGTGATGGAAATGGTGGATGTACAAGTCGAGATGCTTAAATTGTCAAAATTTTATAAACTGCCACGCTAATCAAGTCCCAAAATCCTGGCATTCTCGGTACATAAATTCCGGTAACGAGACCGAGATTGATCACTCAGGATCATGTGCAACCACTACTGACGATAACCAACCAAGTGATTCATTCGCCTATGCTATTTGATCACTCATACAGTTCTGATCTCATAGTTGCATTTCATTATGATTTTGCCAATTTCCGTATTAATTTTTTTCGCTTGCTATATTTCTTCATATTGGTGTTGTGTAAAGCAAAGTGAAGTGGAAATTCAGCCTTCATTTTGATTGCGTTGAATCGCTACGAAATTGTACCGTTGTTTTCATTGGAACAAACTGAATGGAAAGTGCTATTATGGAAGTTATTTTCAATTGATTTATGTATAGATTGCTGATTCGCTGATTTTCCAAATGATCACACCGATACTCATTTGATCAGTAATGCTCGTGCTCTAGTATGCTTGAACTGATTGAACCGATGACATTCGAATAATCACGCTGATACTCGTTCATATTCTACCAAAATCTGTATGCAACCAGCGTTCATTAGCAATAAAAGATGCGAGTCTCCGCGCTGACCTGAACATTTTAAGATGTTTTAATGTTATCACAATCTTCATGTCCATCACGCAGCCATTGTACTGCTGAATAAGACATCCTATTATCAGGTAAATTTTTATTCCGGAATTGATAACGCAAAACACAACTATATATAACATAGATGATTTGATTCGAATTATTCGGTGAATCTTACTGAGCGAATTTGGGTTCGATTCGGTTTCCAATACTCACAAACCTTAAGATCTGGTATATCTCCTCTATGAAAGCAACTTCATGAAAGAAAGTTCATGGATGTGAGAATGACAACTCGAAAAAAGTTAAATGTGGCCTTCTTTGTTCTATACAATAACTGCGCACAGAGATCTACTGGTGTCTTAGGTTGAAAGGATATCGAGTATTCAGAAAGGCGAACTTCAATGCTTATGATTGTGCGATGAATTGTGTGATAACCTATGATGGTTCAGATGAAAGTTTGGCGTTCATAGTTACAATATTCTGCTGAAAGGCTGTATAGTGAACAACTGAATCACGATGCTTAATCAAGGCAAGATTAAAGCTTACATTCAAATAAATTCAAACTTCAAATAAAAACAATCGATCAGACTTTGGTGAGCTGGATATTATCCTCTCCTTGATCTCTTGAAAATGACGTTAAAGGTCAATATTGTCGTCGTTCGATCGCATCCTTGAGAGTATGCCTGCAAATGCCCATGATTAGTCACCTTTACTGGTTTAGAGGAGTGTTTCGCACGTGCCGGAAGAGGGTGGGTGGGTTAGGAGCACTCTCTTGGGGGAACTTGAGAGTGACAGAGAGGTAGGAGAGCTGAGGTGGACGGCAGTTATTGTTGATTGATTCATTCTTCACAATTCTTCCAGGGTTGTCAGATTTTAAATTCAAAGTTTTTGTTCGATCGGAATGAATTGATTCTTTTGAAGCAATTTATGAATTCTTAGCCGCAAACCCTTGATCAGCCAAGCATTTTCTGATTCCATTCTGATTAGTCGATAAAAACCGAGAGATTTTGAGGGAAGGGGATAGGAGATTTGCGGTCATGTGGATTGTTAAACGGAGGAGTGGTGATTTGCCGTAAGGCCATAAGACGGAACGAGGGCAGATCGTTCGAACCACTGGCACACAGCATGTCAACCATGTTCAGTCAAATATGGATCAAATCTCCTCATTTGAAGCTATGCTCACAATCAGCATTTTGACATGAGACAATTCGACTCTAGAAATCTTCACTATATGAATCAGAATGACTTCCCGGGTGAAAAAAACCATGTGAAATCTCATGGATCACTAATGTAGCTGAGATAGAGGATGAATTGCTCATTCCATGCTCGAACTTGCCCTTTCTACCATTCCTGTACTTTTCAAAATAAATTAAGGAAAGATATTCCGGGCTTACTGAATTGGGTATGGATTGGAGACAGTTTGCCATGCTTGATTCTCTTCGAATTGCCAATATCCATGCCTTACCTGAAAATTTTCATCATTTACTCTTTATTCATCCGCATCGCTTCTCAACTGAAGCAGAAATTTGAATCGATTCATTGAAGTGAAATACAAGAATCCAAATTCAGCGCGCCGAATGTGAATCATATTGCTGATTTTGCTCTTAAGAAATGTCATAACAAAATTTTTGAGCATAAACCTGAGGCATTGGTTCCCTATAAGCTGTTTCGAACAAGGCGATCTCGTCTGGATTTGGATGTACATCGTCATCACTGCGAACGGTGACTTTACTGAAACATGATCCATAGCTTGAAGGGACCAGTATAATCTCGATTCGTGCTGCTCTTATTCCATATGAACTGCTTTATTGTTGTTCTGTTCTGCCCATTCAAAAGAGCAGCTTTGAAATTTTGAGTATGGGACTAGAAGAGAAGATTTCGAATGGTAGTATAGAATACCGTGAGGCAATTTCGAAATTTTGTGTTTGAGATATGAGAGGAGGACTGAATAAAAAGGATACACGTGGGAAGTTTCACAAAAAGATGTCGATACTTTGCCAAACTGTGCTATTGCAACAAAGTTTCGAGGTTTCCATGAGATTTAGTTGTAGATGAACACTTGATCAGATAAATATTTTTAAAAAGTCCATAAAAGGATTTCCATTAGAATCTCCGGCACATATAGAGACTTATTTAACGGGAACCCTCTCTAATACGCACTCAGTCAGACTATGCTTCTCTTTTTTTCTGATGGACCAATGAATAGTTCATATCGGGATTACGAATGTTCACGAGAGAGTAAAACTCTGAAACAAATTTTAAAAAAAACTTTCAAAGCAACATACGGAATTTCTTCGCCATCATCGAGCAAATGTGCTGCCCAGCCGCAATGGAACAGCAGAATACCGACGATAATAAGAATAAATGCAAACGGCAGGAGGGCACTTGCACTGAAAACAGTGTCAGTGTCATCTCAAGATTTGCACATGGCAGCAATTCCTTCCTCGAATATTAACTATTTCGACATCAAAGTTGAGACTTCACAATTGTTAATATTGTCTCAAACTCATTCCGATCAGCGTAGAATGAAAGAAACCGAAAAAACTGAATACTCGTAGAAATGTGCAAAAGAATGTGCATTTTGAGTTTTTCAGAGAAAATGAATGATCCTCGGAAAACGCTCGTGATTATTTGATTCATCAATTTTATGTCTGACTCATTTGATTCATAAAATTTCATCATTTGATTCATAAAAAATTTCATTTGATTCATCGATTCATTATTTGATTCATAAAATGATTCACGGCCAGTCTTTTCTCGTTGTTTGATTGAAATGAAACTTTCATTTGAATCGATTCATTCAATTTGTTTTCAAGCGATTGAATCTTTTGATTGCATGAAACAGCATGTTCAAGGAATTATCATGAGCATTCATTTGACTGAAGTGAGAAAGGAACGCAGCTGACTACTGCAACGAATTGAGAGATCACTTACATAGCAGCACATTCAACAGCGATGCAGGTTAATAGGAGGCCGAGAAGTATCATAACACCAATCGCGAATAGGATAGCACCTGTTATTACAACACATCGCCTGAAATTAATTGGTACCACACCACAATTAATCGTTTTCAAGGTCAACATTAAAAGTTCACCACACTGGTTTCCAAGTCATGAATCTCAAACGTTGGCCTATGCATACACTCAAAAGGAGCACTTCGAATCGGACTGACTATACAATAAATTTTTTATTCTCAAAAATCGCTTTGTTTTCAAATTTTGCGTTGGAAGCTTAAGAATTTGCGCACTATTAGCATACCTTGCTGGCCATACACCTGTATAGACTGGAATACAAGGGTCACAGAATACGGGACATGATTTCCGCAAATACCACGGCTCGTACTGAGACATTTGCTTTGTGGCTGCAAAATAATTCGCTTGAAGTCTTGGATTGCTTTAGCGCAAAACAATAACGAATATGAGCAATAAACGCCGAACTCATCAAACTGGTGGACGAAAGTTGCAATCAGTCAAATAGGAAATGTGATTTAAAAAGTTGAGGACGATAAACAACACGGTTCGAACTGGTTCAGTGGGAGAAAACATGTGATTATTGGAGTGAGTGCAATGTTCTCACGATTCCTTTTTCTTCTACTCGGTGCAAGCAATTAACGAAAACGTTAAACGAGCTGTTTTTCACTCACTGAATACTTTTTTCACCATTCATGAATCACATTTGGAGAGTTTGCTGCTGTACTTAGTCAATGTCATTGAGAACGAAAGTGTTATGGCTGAAGAAACCGAGAATTTTATCAATAACAAGTGCGAAAACAAGCGATCATTCTAACAAAACCTGCAAAATCACAGAAATTTCGAAACACTCTAAACCCAATACGATTTTCATCATAGCAGCTGCAACAACAATCATGACTAAGCAAAGTTTTCGATAAACTCCAAATTTTGCCAGACAATAACTTCTTTTCGGAACACTCTAAACCGATTAAACACACATTTCAATATCTCTCGATCAATATAACCACAATAACTTCTTTTCCGGATATCCTATTTTCAAGAATTGTCATAATATCAAGAGCTGAGAGAACGTGAAACTTGAGCTGAAACGTGCAACAAATATTGGTGGAGTCAACTGACGATTGAATTTGAAGAAAAGTTTTAGAATTGATCAACGAACGCGGAAGGAAAATTTGATATTAATGATCATAGAAGTGGTCTTGACTGCGTGCTTTTTGTAACAGCGATCAACGATGCATTATCAGCATCAATTATCACTGATGCTATAAATAAACATTTCGATTCCGAACATCTTGCGATATCGTTTAAGCGTTAAAATATCGAAGCTAACTGAATATAACCACATTGTCAGTCAAATGACGAAAGTTACTTTCGAATGGAAATCAACTGATTGAGAATGGAGAATGAAATATAAACAATCAATATATCTCTCGATTTCATTTCACATTGAGATCAACCAACAGTTTCATGTGATGGATATGAACCCAGTGCCGTTCGCTTACAGATATTTGTGACCGAAAGAAGTCACTGGTGGAAAATTGCTCTTTACGTTCGAAATGTTTATTTCTTACGCAAATCCACTATCCAAAAACAAAGACATCAACTTAATTGTAACGATAATCAACTGAGTCTATCGAGATCGTCGTTGTTATGTTACAGTTGATGAGTTGATCTATTGTTGTAGTTCAGGATGATATGTCGGAAACAAGAGAATCG